CTCTTTTGTGCCTGTCATCAGTGAGGGGGTGTACAAATCTCTCATAAAAGATTCTACAGACCCAAGTTTTACCATCTCCTGCTCATTTTATTTTACCTTTGTAAGCTGGCATTTCTTAGTGTTATGTTGTATTGTATATGTCCCTTTCACTGTGATTTTTAATATTCTTCTGTGTGAATCACCTAGAGATTTCATTAGACAGTACACAACACTATAAACAAACAATAAAGGGTACAATCCTGTGGTCTCCTGACATTGCCTGGGGGGCAATAGTGTTATGATCAACTCTTTCCTTTCCATCAGAAGAGAAACATATTCCAAGTATGCAGAGAGTTCTTTTTAAAACTTTATTGTAATGAAGGGAACAGAAAAAAATGGTTTCCTTCCCATTTTTCTGTTCACCTGAGCACATGTTCACACACCCCTTTTGAACCCTGCTCCTGGCTGCTTCTTCCCTCCTCCTTTCCCCTAATTGGCTGGGGTACCGGGAGTTTGCAATCTTTCCGCCCTCCTACTCTGCGCTGCTCCAGCATCAGCCCTTCTTCCCAATCCAGCCCTGCCCGTGGTGAGCTACAATAGGCTCATTTTGTTCTGCCAAGCTTGTCAATAAACAATCAGGAAGTATTTGGCCCTCCTGCCAACATGCCTGTTTTCCCACACTTTATGCTATCTAATTTTAACCCCTCTCCTCCTTTGGCCTAAGTAATTTTCTTTGTTACCTTTTTAAATCTCTCTACTCCCTTGTTTCAAATCATCCTTTCACACCTATCAATTGGAATCCTCCGAGTCCCAGCACCAAGATCTCGCACTCTCACAGCTGGGAATCAGCTGCACTCTCACAGCTGGGAGCACGGAGCCTGCACCCCAATTGCATCTGTCGGGGAAAGAACCCCATCAGGTGCTTCTTCGAGCACCAGATTGCACCAGGGAGAGGGGATAATGGTGTGCTGAGGAGGGGGAGGAACCTGGAACCTGCGCTGGTTCCTTCTGCTGTCCCAGCCTCTTTCCTTCTCCCCCACCCCCGCAGCACTTTATCTGTTGTTGGTGTTATGTGCTGCCAAACCATCTCCAACCTGGCAAGGCTATGAATGAAAGCCTCCAAAAGATGCTGTCCTTGACAGTCCCCTTCAGCTCTTCTAAATCCAAGGCTGTGGCTTCCTTTGCTGAGAGTCAGCCCAGCTCATACTTGGCCTTTGTTTTCTTCTTCTGCCTTGGACTTTCCTTGGCATGATGTTCTGCATACCAATGGAACAGATAAGGAGATAGTGGGGGCTCCTATGAGGAAAAGCTGCTGTGGAGGAGGAGCCTGTGTATGGCCCCTCAGCAATTTTTGGTCTCCCATATGCCTGGTCAGTGTAGCTCATGGCAGTATTGGTACCTACAGTCCAACTGGAGCACCCATTCCATGCTGTTGGCTTAGAAGTTGCAATGCATAGAGATTGACTTATGGGCCAACATGTGTGAAAATGGAAACTTATGGCACCCGACAACTTTTGCATCAGGAAAGCAGTTTGACACGTTCTTTGGTGTCACAGAATGTGCTTGCTTATGACTTCCTCTTGCAGACCTGGCTTTCTTTGTTCTAAAACTGGAGGAACACTGAAGCTCAGGGAATGATGAGGGCAGGGATTATGTGGCTGCACTTGAGCCTTCTGCTTTCAGTGGGGCTTGTGGGGAAAATTTGGACAAATCCTGTCTGAAAAGCATTACTCCTGTGTGCCTTTGCATTGTGGGATCAAATCCTGTCTTCCTTCTCAAAACCAAGCTGTCACTGTTTAAAATGGCATTCCCCCGCTCCTTTCTCTCACCTTTAGCTGTAGGCTACAGTAGGCCATTTTAGCCCAAATATACATTATAAATAGTCATTGTTGGAATTCAGTTTACAATAATCTTTTGATAGCCCAGAGGGCTTCATGTGCCCTGATCATGCAGAATGTTTAGAGCTGAGATAAGGGTCTGAGCATCATGAATAGTTTCTAGTAGCTTGAATTTGCATGTCTAAGCAAACCTGGAGATGGGTTCAAGTTACTGAACTAAAGTGTCAATACTAATCTCATTGTTACAGTGTGATTGACTGACATTTCTTTATCTGTTCTATATGTGATGACCTCAGAATCTTATTGTAATCCCTGCATTCTGTCATCAATTGCCCTGTACCTGTGTACCTATAAATGCCCTGTAATGGTATTGAAGCTTTACAGGGAGTTCATCTCTGCTAGCCCGGTAATGCATTATTGTGAGTCAACCGCGGGAACCTGGGATAGACAATAAAGACGCCGAGCTTCATAACGATTGATCTTTCCTACGACCCCCGAGTTTTATTTCCTCTTCTCAAATTGAGATTCCAGGATTCTGACAGGCTACAAAGGGGGAAAGTGGTTGTCTCCAGCAAAGGGAGTGGGAGGGTCCCCTTCAGGTTTCCAGCCAGCCAGTCTGCCTTCCATTCTTCCTCCCTCCCTCTGAATTTCCATTTCCTGCACCAGCAGTTGCCCCAGTCCACACTCAGGGTGTTCAGACCACAATGATCAACTTGGGGAGGGGTGCTTCAAGTGGTTCCCTCACACACAAAATTTTATTGATTGATCGATTATGGGGCACTTCTGCAAAATTTTAGGATTTCCTTTTATGTGGATAGTTGGGGCTACAGAAAAATGGTCACTTACAGAATGGTTTTACTATCAGAATGGTAACTTATGTTAGTGGTGTATGTGGGGGCAGGAAAGCATTTCTAGGTGGAACTTTTATTGTGCAACCACATCATGGACTTTTTCAGCAGAGTGGGGACAAACAGGCGAGTTCACACAACACAGCAACCCATTCTGTTGATGAGGCACAGGAGGTTGGTTCTTGTGTGAATAACTCATGGGGTGTCCAATGGACATTTGGCCTCGCTGTGGATAGTTGGCCTCCCCACTCCCTCCCAGGCCTCCTGGAGATACCCCCAGGGCCCCCTGACAGGACCGACTTGTCTCCCCTCCACCTACTGTGACCTGATTTTGGTTCACTGTGACTTTTCCCCCAAATCTTGAAGTTTGGTTCGACAACCTCCAAACTGACAGCCACAAGAGACAGTGGCCTTTTGAAGAGGCTGTCCGTGTATGGCAAGCATTCTTTTTCTAACTGGACAGAAGTGGCTTCAGTTTTTTATTATTCTTTTAGCTGGGCTTGCTTGCACAATTTATTTCTTTAATTTATAACCCAGCTTCTTTTCTTATACAGAACTCAAAGCAGCTTTCATCATTCTCCTCCTGCAGCTCTCCATCTTATCCCCACAACAACCCTGTGAGGTAGGCTGGGCTGAGAGCTGGTGACTGGCCCAAAGTCACCCAGTTGGCTCAATGGCGGAGCGGGGACTTGAACCCAGGTCACCCGAGTCCCAGTCCCACACTCTTAACCACTATACTGCACTGGATCACAACTGTGTAGCCACCTAAATACAGAGCTTGTTGCAAGGAGGGAGAGCGTCTGCTGCCAGAGTGAGACAAATACCGAGCCCACAAAGCTCCCAATAGGCCTGGTCTTCCCTTTGCTTTCTCTTAACAGCTGTCAGAAGGTAAGTTGTCAAGGAAAAGCAAAAGTATGTCAGATCTTATCTTACAAAAAGGTGGTGGCACAATTCCCATTCCTTGTTATAAGATCCTCATTCTTCTCATGCAGCCCCACTGACAGTCCATGGGGTGAAGCCTGTAGATATGCCCTGGGCACTCTTGACAATATGAGCAAGGGATTATCTCTGCTCTTGCCAACCAGCTTGCTCAGCCATTCACCTCACCCATGACGGGGACAATCACCCAGCTTCAGACAACCCTCCCATCCACCCAGATGTCTTTCACCAGCACTGCTGACATATATATTACTGCAATTCCTAAGCCCAGTAGGGATCACACTACGGTGCTAATTATCAATCTATTTCATTCATTAATGTTGACATTAAAATATTACTGCAATTTTGGCCAACTGATTGCAACCAGTTATTACCACACTGGTCCACCAGACCAGCTGGGCTTATTTGAGATATACAAGGAGCTGATAATCTCAGATAGTTTGTTGACCTGATATCACTTAATAAGTGATAATAAGAACAGAATAAATCCAGTGGTCATTACACAGAGACCTTTGATGAAATTTAGTTTAGCTACATTGAGATTTTTTTTTTTTTTGTGTAGAATTTCTGAAATAGGTCAGGATTCGATATTGCACTCTATGAGTTAGAATTAGGCCCAAAGTTAGGCCCTTCTGTCTTTACTTCTTTTCCCTCAGAAAATGTACCAGAAAGGGGGATCCACTTTCACCACTGATATTTGCTCTATGCTTGGTCTCTGTGCCATTTGAATGGCATTAAATAGGATAGGTCACAAAGGGAGAGATCTACATTTCTAGCCAATTTAATCATGGCTTGTTGCTTTAGCTATGAACTGTCATGCAGATGAGCAAACAAACTGATTTGTTTTCCCCATTTCTGGTTTGTTTCTCTTCTGAATACCTCCACAACCTTCAGATCAGTTTCATTCTCAACTGCTCTTGCTGAGTGCAGACAGACATCACAACAAGGCATGGGTTACACAAGTCAGACTTCAAGCCTAAGCCAACAACCAACCATGGGTTCTATTTGGGAAGCTTTTGTTTAGCCTGAAGCGCCTGATCCTGCCTAACCTTGGAAGCTAAGCAGGGCCAGGCTCATTTAGAATCTGGATGGGGGACTTAAATGTTGTGAACCGCTCAGACAGATGCAGCTACAGGCCGTATAGAAATGTAATATCATCAGCATCATTTATTCTTAGTTGATTAGCAGACAATGTTTGTTTGCAGGGATAGGTTCAAACATGGCAAAAAGCCAGATCCCAACAAACAACATAATGGCTTAGTTTTTCCTATGAACCTTACTGATGTAAAAACACTAAGCCAGATGTAATGTTAAAAAAATGTAAGTGTGCAGAGGAAGAAAGATTCTTGAACCTTGGGGATAGAGACAGAGTCCTGGAAACAAGGATGCCATTACATAAGGTTGTATTTTTTTAATTAAATAGCTGTCCAGGCAGATATTGCTGCTTGACACAAATTTTTCTGCCTAAAAATATCCTTTAAAAAAAGGACACAAACACACATGTGGACATTCTGCCTAATGTGGGGAGGCAAAGGTCCACCCCAGACTCTCCTTCTTTCCAGAAGCTGGGGACACTCAGGCAAATAGCAATACACAAGTATTTACACATACGGAGATGTCTGGTCCCTGGGCTGGCCAGAATTCAAACATCATATAGTAGTTGTGTGGAGTTCCAACTCAGATCTCATTCCCCTCTTGCTCTGCTCAGCTCGTGTGAAGTGGGAGGGGAAAATGCCTGTAGAACCAGGCCAACGCTTTCTCGGGCAGTGACAAGAGTCACCAGCATTCCCCGCCCCATCGCGGAAGGGGAGGAGGCCATAGGGAGGTTCAGGCGCTCAGCTGCTCTTGCAGGTGGGGGTCCGGGAGGGGGCTGGCTTCTGCAGTTCTTCGGGCTGAAGAAGCGGGTCAAGTTTTAGCCATGAATGCAAGAGCACCTGTTCCAGCGTTGGCCGCTCAGAAGGCACTGGAGACAAGCACCACTGGATGAGGTCCCGGCAGTCTGGGAAGCAGAGAGTTGCAGTTTGAAAACTCCAGAAGCCCTCATGACCACCACCCCGTTCCCCTAACAAAGTCTTCTTATCTGGATTCAGAATTGGAGCAATTCAGGACTGAGTAAAGCATGAGACCATTTGAGAAACGAAACTTTTCCTTGTGAAATAGCACCAAAGTTGCTAATCCTTAGGACAGCCTTCTCCAACCTCAAGTCCTACAAATGTTTTGGACCCCAACTCCCAGCATTCCTGTCTATTGTCCACGCCTGCTGGGCTTTTGGGAGCTGAGGTCCAAAGGATGTGACATCAGCAGGGTGAGAGGGGCTGCCCTCAGGCCAGATGGGAAAGGCAGGCTGCTTCCTACCAAGGTTAGCAGGATGGTATGGGGAACACAGTGCTGCCAACGTAGGCAGGCTACTGTATGAACTGGCCCAAAATTCAGCTCTTTTGTGGAGTCGCTCTCCCCAGTTTAATGCTACCATGTACTGAGCATACTCAGGACCTGGCCAACGTATTTGTCTGCCTGAAGCAAACAAATATGGCAGGTCCCCCATCCCACAGCCATGTTTGACTGGCCAGGCAGTTGAATCTGTGGGAACAGCACCCTCCATCACCCCTGAAGGCACCAAGGAGACGCGCGGAGGGCTCCAACAGCTGCTCCCCAATATCTGCTGCCAGAGGCCAACACCTCCTTTGCATTAATGGTAGAGCAGTCCTGGGAGGACAAACAGCAGAGAGGGACACTCACCGGCAGAGACTGGGGTGCGAAACTCCACGCTGGCAGCCAGAATCTCATCGTCCCGTTCAAAGGGAATGTCCCCACACACCATGTCGTAGAGCAGGATTCCCAGGGACCAGACAGTTGCAGGAAGAGCATAGTATTGCTGGCATTCCACCCACTCAGGTGGGCTGTACACACGAGTACCTGAGAACGGGGAGCAGAGGGAAGCAAACAGGTCATTGCTTCTACCACATAATGACTTAAAGGAAGGGGCACTTTTAAAACAACACTTTTAAACAGCAGGCACAAACAGCCCTGAATCTTAAAAAGCAACCTTGCCAGTCTTGTGCTGAAGAGCAGGAAGGGAAGGTTGTTGCCCTAAACCTCGCGTGAGATTTAGTGGAGAGGCCTTCTGGGCAAAGCACTCCACAGCTGCAGTGCCATGGTGGAGAAAGCCCTGTATGTGAGCTGCCCATTACGCAAGGCCTTCTGGAAGAACTGCATGTGGAATTGAGAATGTTGGATATGTGCATTTTTAAGCAATAGTTATCTTTATCTGGGTTAAAGAACATTGCTAATTGCTAAAGTTAGTTTAGAAGCAGTCAGGAGGCTGAAGACCCTGAGCCAAGACTGAACTCCTAGCCACTAGATAACTGGAAAGCTATGGTGTCTGGGTGTCCTGCTTTGCAGAGAACAGCCTTCTATTTGAAATCAAAGAGGGGGAGCAGGGATTGGCCTTGAATTTGATCAGCACACTTAGCAGCAGGTCCAGTGAACACCTTCTTGCCTGAGTCCTCTGCAATCGGGCAAGAAGGCCTGTGCTTCCCTTGTAAGGATAGCCATCTACAGATGGAAAATGGGGCTGTGGATTCCATGGACATCTCCAGTTTCTTTTGCCTCCTTTCTGGATGATGCGGCTCCATTTGGGCAATGTGGAACTGACCTCCTTCTTCTAGAGTAGGGCCCCTATCCATTCTCAGGAGTACCTGAACACCAGGGAAAGTGGAGGTGAGGCAGCCTCAATGGGCATTTGAACCTGGTCCCCCCATCACGCACACACACAGAGACACGTTTTCAGACTTTACAGCAGTTCCGGCTCTTGGCATTCTGCCCCTGGAACCAGCAGCCCTCTCTTCCCTCAGAGGAAACTCTTCCCATCTTGACACTCACCATCAAACTCTGTGTAAACAGAATCTGTCAGCAGGGCCCCAGAACCAAAGTCAATCAGCTTGACGTTGCCGGTGCGCAAGTCAACCAAGATGTTCTCATCCTTGATATCCCGGTGGACCACTCCTTGGGCATGGCAGTGGCACACTCCCTCCACCACCTGGTGGAAAAATCGCTGAGAGAGCTTCTCGGGCAGGGGTCCTTGCTCAGTTATGTAGTCAAAGAGATCCTGGCAGTGCTCTGGCCTCTCCAGGACCAGGAAAAAGCCCTCAGGAGTTTCATACCAATCCAAGAGGCGAATCACATTGCGATGCCCAGCTCCCGAGCACACCAGCTTCATCAGCACCACCTCCAGGGGTGTTGACTTCCCATTGGGCTGCAAAGGAAGATAGAGAAGCTTACTTCTAGCAGTGCAGGGTGGTGCCCACACTGGTAAGGAGCAAAGAGAGGAAGCTGAGGAGGGAATGAAAGGTGTTGTCCCAATGCCTGGGCCATTCCCCTCCTAGAATCAGGCTGCAATGAACAGCACATTGGAATGACCATCTCAGACTGATAAGAAAGCTTTGTAGCTTCCTCTAGAGTGGGGAGGGGCAACTGGACTCCAGTTCCCATCAGCACCAAACACCATGGTCATTAGGGGCATTCACTATTCCCCTGCATAGCTCCAATGTGTGGAAGAGTTACAGCCCAAAGGATCTACCTTGTTCCATCTACCTCCACTCATCAGCCATCTCACTGCATTTCCTCGATTCCTCCTTATGGTTATCTTGTTCAAGGCCTGGCTCTGCCATGAGGCAGAGTGAGGCAACCATTTCAGGCAGCCAATTTGGTGGGTCATGAAAGGTCTGAGATGCATTTGTTGTATTTAATTAATTGTCATCTTTTTACAGCCAGGGAAGAAGTAGAGAAGTACCCTTGGGCATTATGCCCTCAGTTTGGGGGGCTGGCACTTCTTGGACCAAGCAAAATGTCTTGGACCAGCCCTGTTACTAGGTGAAAAAAATATATTACTGGCATAAAGAAGGATAGATACCCTTTAGACTCACCTGCTTTACCCATTGAGCAACCTTGTTCTTGGCCACATGTTTGATTGCAACCTGTGGAGCAAAATAGAGATAAGTAAGTACCTAAATTACATTACTGAGGCAAGATTAGGGCCAGCTTTTCCACACTGCATTTATTTATTTACATGTGTTTAGACATGTATCCACATCCAGAAGAACAGGATCCATTCCTTCCAGGCAAAAATCCAAGCCTGATCTCTGACCCACCCACCCAACTAACTGTCCTCATTTCAGCAAGATAATGGAGTGAGTCATTTTGTCGTTGCCAGACAACTGGAAATCTTGCATCCCTGCTGATCCAGAGACCTACATGTGGGTCCCAATGCACCTTCTGCCCACCTCCACTCTGGAGAGTTGTCCAAACTTTCCTGTCCTAGGGCTCCTCCTTCCATGGCTCTGCTCCTTATTTTAGACCCTTCCCTGTTCATCTCACTGCCCTTCCTTAGTATCACAGAAGCTCAGCCAATAGCAGGGAGAGGCCCTCGCCCAGCCTCTAGAGGCAATCCAGTCAATCCCAGCCAGAGGTTTCATTGCCAGCATCAGCATCACACCTATCCCCAGGTGTATCACAGGACAGATACTGGAGCTCTGCTCTTCTTGGCTTTATGCTCCCACCCCACCCCAGAATGCATTCTTGCTGCTATGCATCCTATGGCAGCCACACCCCATGACTCACCTGTAGCCCATCAGCAATCCGGTGCCCAGCATACACTGTACCAAAGCCACCCTTTCCCAGCAAGCCACCTCGCTTATACAGAGCTTCAAATGAGTCTTTGTCTTTGCCTAGAACAAGCAGAACAGTAGCGACCATGTTACATTGAGTAAGGCATGTCCACAGTACAGCAACTGTAACTTTGTGCATATTTTCAATGCACGCACATAAGAATTCTATCCAAGGTGGTAAAATGTAATTGCCCATTACAAGCCACTGGTATTTTATCACCTGGGAATAAGTTGTGTGTGTGTGTGTCTAAATTGCATGGATCCCACACACAAACTGCTTGTCCAACTGGGTTCTACCTATCAAGATATAGTTTGCATCACACTGAGCTTAGCTGCACTTCATTCATTCTCCCCCTGCATGGGCAATTTATAGGCCAAAAATAATATTTGGAAGAACACAACTCCTGTGTTCCCTCTTCATGAGCCATCCTGGCTGGGGCTGATAGGGGCTGTAGCCCAAAATATTTGGAGGGCCACAAATAGCCTGCTGTTGTCCTAGAGGCATTGGGCAAGTGGGAAAAGCTAGCAATATTGAGAAGAAAAAGCCAAGTCATTTAGGGTTGTTGTTGTTGTTGTTGTTGTTGTTGTTGTTGTTAGCAGCAGCAGTTTTTATGGCTTGGTACACAGGAAATATGAGTCAATGGCAAAGCCACCCAGATCCTTGCCATGACTCACAGAAAGGACATCTGTTCTCCCTCCCTGCAGAAACCAACTTCACCAGAGCCTAGACTTCCTGCATTGTTTTTATGAATGGGAGCTGCCCTGCCTGCTTTTAACGACTGCATAAGAGGCAGAAGTCAACAGGTGAAGCTTTTTCCAGAAATTAGATGCAGGAGAGGAGGAAGGCTTGCATCCATCAGAAGTGCAGGTTCTCTGTCCATTATAAATAGTGAAGGGCAAATGTAAGGCTCTCTCTGCAGCAGCAGAGAACCAACAGATTTCCTCATCTGACCAGGATTTACAGATCTGTACATACATTGAAAGCTAAAAAAACAACAACCAGAAAGGACTATCATCTCCCCACAATGCTCACTTTCATAGCTTATGATAGACAGGAATGTAATTTGTGAGCTTTGGTTTCCTAGTTCAGGAAAGAGGAAACAGCACCTGCTGAACTTTCCCCCATCAAAGGCACAAGTGTTTTTGTTAAGTCAGCATCCATTTATTAGGCAGATAGACTGTTCATACTGGTCCAAGACTAATGGTTAATGTTTCACTCTGCTAAAGGAAGCTGGTCTCCTGATGCCTGTGGATCTTTCTGTTTTTGAATGAGATGTCCATCCCATCAGGGCTTGGAAAAGGTGATTTTCCTCCAAAGTATGTATGTGTATATGCGCTGTACGTAGGCGAAGGAGAAAAACTAATTGGAGGTTTAGAGGGAGATCTGAAAGTTTCTCCTTAAAGATCGAAAGGGGAGCTGAGGACCTTGCCTCTTAGCAGCGCCTATTTGCCTCCATACATACAAAGAGGGCATGCGTTTGTACATTAAACAAATACTGGAAAGGTGCTTTAAGTCCCTGCTTTGTCATCGTAAAGGAAACGAACTCCAGTTGCAGAGCAATTTCTTCTCTCGATGTCTCACTCCTTGCGGACAGGAATGCACGCTTTGATCAGGAGGGGGCAGCAGAGAGTCACACACGCCACTCCTAAGCATTCACGGCGCTGCTTATCAACCCTTTGGACTCTCACCTCCCGTCGCCCGCCAGCGAGATTGCTCTGATTTCTGCCTCACAAAGTATCGACGCCCAAAGTGAGTAGATGCAATCAAGACACAGGTATCTTGGGCCTTAAAACTGTTCAAAAGGGATTTTCAACAGGTGCAGCTCCTCGGGTCAATGTTGCAAGTGAAAAAAAAATAGATAAAGGTGCATCTCTGGAAAATCCGTTTTGCTCAAGAAGCCCTGTTGCTTCTTTAAATTTTAATTGCTTCTTTAACAAAATAAAGATCTTTCATCGTTTTTCAGAAGAGAAATTCATATAATTAAGCCATCCCTCCCACCATCTCTACAACACATTTTATATCACCGCTGCACACATGCCAAAATTCATAAGTCACCTTAGCAGTTGCGCCGCCTACTTCAAAACTGGGCGGAAAGCAGGGTGATTCCTTTGCATTTGGTCACCCTAAACGTGACTCGGGTGTCTACTGATTTGTTTTTACTCTGGCCGTGCTTCCTGTGCCTTTAAAAGCACCCAAAATATTTAGCCCAGGGTGCGAAGGGAAAGCAAAGAGAAATTCCTTGCACGGCTAAAACTCTGGTGTTTAAAAGCATCCGGCAGAATCTCTTTAAAAAGGCGTTGCATTCCAGAGCGCGATTCTATGTGCTGTACTTGTTCGATGAATTTAGAGAGCCCACCGAAATAGATCCGCTTTTTAAAAATGTTTCTATTACACTTATTTCAGGCTATAACTCCTACCCAGGCGACTTTCAAATAACAAGGAAATTACAATAAATGTATATATATCTATAGTTTAAACTTGGGTTAGGGAGATACGGTATTTTCGATTTTTAAAAAGACCGCTTAAGTACAACAACCGGCCGTTTGAATCACCTGCCTCGTACCAGGGAAGCCGGGATTAGCGGCACTCCTTCCTTGATGGTTGCCGTGCAATTGATAAAACCCCCCCAGCAGTTCGTGTGCGTGTATGCGAGGCGGGAGTCGACCTCGCCGGCTTACCTGCCGGACTCCAAGCCACTTCTTTCCGTTCCGGGATCATCATCCTCCTCCCAAGACTATACAGAACGCGTCCTCGGTTCCGATCGGGAGCAGGCGCAAGAGCTCCTCAAAGCCGGCTGGCTGCGGGCACGCCTCGCCGCGGCATCGCTGCTCCGCGCCACCCTCGGTCAGAACATCGCGGTCCCCGATCGGCCACTTGTCTCCTTAGCGCTTTAGCCGTCCGCGCTACACACTTCTTTCTCCGCCAGCTCCTAGCCTATCAGGTGTCGCGGGCAATTTGCATCGCTCCGCCCACCACTCCGCAAATAAGCAGGAGGAAATGAAAGCTTGGGGAGATTCCCCCCTCGCCCCGCCCCGCATCGCCGTGGAAAGAGCATGAGCAACGTCGTTGTTGTTGTGGTGACGTTGCGGAAGGCGAGCTGCGTCAGGCGCGCGCACCCATTTGGCTCCGATCCAGAGGAAGCTCGCGCCGCTTCCAAGGGTGGCCGTGGGCCTCTTTCGCCCGATGGAATTCGGCGGGAGTTGCTTCCAAGGAGCTCCGTGGAGTGGCCCTGGAGCAAGCCTTCCCCAAGTCTGGCGCCCTCCCTACGTGGTGGGCGAGGACTCTCATCGTCCCCGAGGGGGGAGTGCCACTGGCTGGGGATAATGGGAGTTGTATTCCGACTCTCGCTCATTAAATTGAGGGCTACAATGTTGCAAGACTGGGGGAACACTGCTCTAGAAGAATTTGATTTACTTATTTAGTGGGTATTCAACCGAAAGAACAAATAAGTCTGGGCTTTTGAATCATCTGGCCAGGCGCAGGTGCTTATGTCGTGGGTTCTTTCTTGGCCATTGAAGCACTGGTCCCTTCCTCCTTTATGGCACTCTGCTGCCATAATTATCTGGGTCATAAATATTACTGAATGTGCTGAATTGAAGCAATTCAAGAATAAGTCAGATCTGTTTTAAGATGAAATGCTCTTCTGAATGTTAGATATTAAAGAAGGAAATCACTAACATCTACGTGATAACTGATGTCATGACTTGGTTTCCACTGAAATCAAAGGGACCTTAATGTTCACTGGACCAAACCCAGATAAACCTACAGCCATGTTTGTTGCAGAGGGCAAGAATGGCTCTGACCATGTACAGAGTGTCACTAATTTTACTTGGAAAAAGTAGGAGGATACCACTGACAAAACCATCTTGTGGAACAAGATCCAGTGCAACATTAAAATTTAATAGACTATGGTCTACTGCAATTTTCCCCAACCTGATGCCCTCCAGAAATTTTGGTCTACAACTCCAGTGCTCCTGATTATTGGCCATGTTGGCTGGGAGTTGGTCCAAATGGTTGGAGGACACCAGGCTGGGGGAGGCTGAGCACCAGATGCGCAGGTGGAAGGACCTGCTGCTCACCATGAGAGCCAAAGTAGTTATAGTTCAAGGAATGGCTGCCCCAGGAAGGAAAGATTGGGATTTAGTAAGGCCTTGTGGGGAACTTGATGGATGAGGCAAAAATGGCATGTTAAGGGCAGTGCTCCATGAAGGGGCAGATGCACCGCTCTGAGCAAGGCCAACAATTTCAGCAGCAAATGCTGAGCTGTGCTAAGGATGTGGGTTTGCAAAGTGCTTCAAGCTTGTCCTTCAGGTTTGGCCACTGGCATGCCCCTGCTGTGCAGATGAGTGACTCAGTCCCAAAGATCTAGTCCAACTGGCCCTGCGTCAGGACCAACGCGAAGACGTGGTAGATTCCTTTCCAGCCCTTTCCTCATGCCTTGTGTCTCCACCCCAGGAAAAAGCAGTTGGAAAGGATATTGTTGACCTTTGGGACTCAGTACTGTGGGAATTGCTTGCCCAGAAAATGTCAGAGCTTGAGGCACTTGTGACAAACAGCTCTCCATCTTCCTCTTGCTGGTGATACCGAAAGGAATGGCAATTCACAGGCCTGACACAGGCCCTTGAGGCTCTAGCTGGAAGACTTAAGAATGGGCATTTGTAATTTGGCATAAATTTGCAGGTTGCACTTCCAGTCATTTGATCATGCTTTTTCAATGTATTTATTGAATCAACTTGTAGAGCAAACTTTTGATCTTCCTTACTGTTTATCATCTCAAATTGGGACCCTTTTACAGGAACAAGGTACAAGATTTGCCTGTGGCCACTAGACCAGGGGTGGGCAACCTGTGGTCTTTGTTGCTGGCTTCCATCTCCCCTCAGATCCAGCCAGCCTGGTCAATGGTTCAGGCGATGGGGCCTCAAGTCCAGCAGCATCTGGAGGGATGCAGGTTGCCCATGAAAGCCAGTGGCACTCATGTCTTAGAGACACGGACCCTAAGAGATGGTTCAATATACCAGGGCTGCCGGACACTTTGAAAAAGTATGAAGTGTTTAATGCAGCACTAAGAAGTGCTGGATCTGTACAAACTGGCAGAAGGATATGGATCTGCAAATAGCAGCAGGACACCAACCAGATTCCTACCACAACGTATCTGTGACAGAGCAACAATATGATGCATTAGAACAGAGCTCACCAGCATTTTGCAGTTTGTAGGCACAACTGGAATTCTGAGAGTGTTTCATGGGTTGTCACAAAATGCTGCTGTGGGATGGGACCTGCCCTCCTAAAATGGCTGCACAGGCAAGCACATAACACTCATTTCCCAGAAGGGAAATGGGGGAGACTAAGCAAAAAGTAAGTTTCCCAAGAACCCAAGTACAAGGAAGTGGTGGGAATCTGAGTTCTAAAGTACAAAATGACTCTTTTGAGCATGGCTCTGGAGGATAGCCCTTTGCATTGCAGCATGCTAGTCTCCTGATTATGATGATGTAATAATAAAAGTAATATAATAAAAACCCCAGGGCACCAGGGAAAGTACCATTGGAGAACCATTGGAGACCCCAGCATGACATGCAGGATTACCCAAGCCAAGGGGAGGTGGTTGGAGCTCAGAGAGTAAGTTTAAAGGGCAATGAATAACAGCTAGAATCAGTGAATCATTCAGTATTTACCACCTGGAACTACTGTTGCAGTTTCAGCCTTAGCCCCCCAAATGAGTAGGCTGACTGGTTTGATAGCACAATTCCTCAATCATGTTTGGACAAAGCCTGCAGCTTCTTGGAAATCTGTCGGGATCGTGAATGGGAAAGGAATGATGACAGAACATAAACTGCAGGCCAAGATCCTGGAAGACTGAACTCTTAGCACTTCTCTATTTGCTCTCCACAGCCTGAGGATACCGGGTGGGGGGGTGTTTCCAAGTGCCAGCTAGATTAACGGGAGGCAACAGTGAGGCATAAACCCAACATAGCCCATGCTTTTTGTGGACTGGGAGTGCCTGCCATCGAGAGTATGTCCCAGGGCAGCGCACAATCTGCAAAGAATTCCACAATGGACAAGAAAGAGCCTCAGAGTGCAGGACTTTTTCTGTGCAGGTTTAAAAATCACCAAGAGGCACTAGAAAACCAGTTCAGCTACCTGGGTGTAGTTGATCTGGGTAGGCAGACTTAAGGTGTGTTGAATCTAGTTTGTTTTTACTACATCTGCCAAATAGAGCAAAATGAAAGGAACATTCTGAGCCAAGACATTTGTTTCCAGTAGCAGAACTGAAGTGCAGTCCCAGTCCTTTGACACAAAAGTCAGGTTCCAGTTATCCCATGCTTATTTCATTCTGGCAGGCCTAATTTAGGAAGAAAAGTCATGTTGCTGCTAGTGTCAAAATGTGGGGAACAGATGCCAACGCTAACCTACTGCAAATCATGTAAAGATCTACCAGGAAATTCCACTTGACTTCCTGCCTGCATGTGTCCTAGCAGAAACATGCAGAGAACAAAAATTCACTAATTGCACTAGCAAACCGAGGAGCCCTAGCTCAGACACAGCACCTGCTTCGTGTGTGGCAGGTCCAGGGAAATTCATGACATCTATAAGTACGGCAAGAAAAGCACCCTAACCTGAAACCCTGAGAGTGGTTCCCAGCCAGCATGACAAACTGGGCTAGGGGGGAGCACCAGCTCTGGCTCCGTATAAATAAGGCAGTTTCCTGTGTCCCAAAACATCCTTTGATGTTGTTAGTTGTGAAGTCATGTCTGACCCATCGCGACCCCATGGACAATATTCCTCCAGGCCTCCACCATCCCCTGGAGTCCACTCAAGCTCATACCAACTGTTTCAGTGACATCTAACCACCTCATTCTCTGCCGTCCCCCTCTTCTTTTGCCATCTATTGTTCCCAGCATTAGGCTCTTCTCCAGGGAGTCCTTCCTTCTCATTAGGTGGCCAAAATATTTGAGTTTCAACTTCAGGATCTGGCCTTCTAAAGAGCAGTCAGGGTTGATCTCCTCTAGGACTGACCAGTTTGATAGCCTTGTGGTCCAAGGGACTCGCAGGAGTCTCCTCCAGCACCATAATTCAAAGGCCTCAATCCTTTGGCGCTCAGCCTTCCTTATGGTCCAACTTTCACAGCCATACATTGCAACTGGGAAAACCATAGCCTTGTCTATATACACTTTTGTTGGCAGGGTGATGTCTCTGCTCTTTAGTATGCTATCTAGATGTGTCATAGCTTTCTTCCACAGGAGCAAGCGTCTTTTAATTTCTTGGCTGCAGTCCCCATCTGCGGTGATCTTGGAGCCTAGGAAAATAAAATCTGTCACTACCTCCATTTCTTCCCCATCTATTTGCCAGGAAGTGAGAGGACTGGATGCCATGATCTTAGCTTTCTTAAGGTTGAGTTTCAAGCCAACTTTTGCACTCCTCCTTCACCCGCATCAAGAGGCTCTTTAGTTTCTCTTCACTTTCTGCCATGACAGTGGTATCATCTGTATATCTGAGGTTGTTGATATTTCTCCCAGCGATCTTAATTCCAACTGGTGATTCATCTAGGCCCACCTTTCTCATGATGTGCTCTGCATATAAGTTAAATAGGCAGGGCGACAGTACACAGCCTTGCCGAACTCCTTTCTCAATTTTGAACCAACCAGTGGTTTCGTGTCCAGTTCTCACTGTTGCTTCTTGACCTGCATATAGGTTTCTCAAGAGACAAATAAGATTGTCAGGTACTCCCATCTCTTTAAGAACTTGCCACAATTTGCTGTGATCCACACAATCAAAGGCTTTAGCATATTCAGTGAAGCAGAAGTAGATGTTCTTCTGGAACTCCCTAGCTTTCTCCATGATCCAGCGTATGTTGGCGATTTGATCTCTAGTTCCTCTCCCTCTTCGAAATCCTGCTTGTACTTCTGGTAGTTTTCGGTCCACATACCACTGGAGC